AAAAAGAGAAAAAGAAAAAGAAAAAAAGGAAAGGAAAAGAGGCCCCACGGTCGACTAGTCAGTCACAGAGACTCCCAGGAACCGCCGATGCCAAAACAGCTAGCGCTTACTTATCTATACTAGGCTAGTTCGAGCATCCCCCATCTCCTGACTATCTTCGAACCAACCAACAGCCGTCCTCCACCCGTTTGTCTTCCTCTCTCTCTTCTCTCTCTCTCTCTCCTTCTCTTCCTCTCTTCTTCTTCTTCTCTTTCCTCTTTTCTTTCCCATCGACCATCTTTCTATCATTCATTTTCCTTTCCTTTTCACTCTTTTGTTTCTTCACTTCTTACATTCTTTACTTTCATCCCCATTCGCTCGCTACAGTCGAACGTTCCGCTCTTTTAACGTTCGACTTCATTCTCACGAGCCCTTCGCTTGCTTCCCTCTGGACGGTGGAATAGCCCGATTTGTCATCGCGATATCGATCCTCGATTCATGCGATTCGATTAACCGCCACGCTTGCGAAAACCTTATATACATTCTACCGTATAAGCTGCCTAGGTCAGCTGTTTATCTTTTACCAGATTCGATTACGTTGACGCTTCTGCGACGCGCTCATATTCACCCGTGCTTCAGGCCTGGAATCGTAACCATTTCCAGCCCGAGCACATCCATTCGTTTGAAACATCGATCTCTCTCGCGCTTGACGCAGCTTGAGAGACTTGGACATCCCCTTCGACTGTCGGCCGGATCGTCACATCGTCCTCTCCTTTCTTTCGTTTACATTCCCATCCCTCCATTGGTCGATTCTCTTTTCTGAACCCAGTTCTGCCTTCTCTTCGGTCAATCCCTGCAAACAAAATGTCTTCGACAGACTCCCCTGACCCGTCGACTATGTCGACTACCCCCACCACCACAGCACCGACCACCTCGTCTTCTGCCGCGTCGACGCCATCTCCATCTACATCCAGTGCCACGACTGCGCCTTCTTCCGCGGCCCGTCGGCCGCAGCGCAAGAGTACCCTGACCCAACAACAGAAGAACAACAAGCGTCAACGGGCGACGCAAGATCAACTGGTTACCCTGGAGTTGGAATTCAACAAGAACCCCACCCCGACAGCTGCCACACGCGAAAGGATCGCCCAGGAGATCAACATGACTGAACGGTCTGTTCAGATTTGGTTCCAGAACAGGTATGTTGCACGGTTCTTGTTTGCTACAGACGGTCATGTTGCTAACGAGTGATTTAGGCGTGCAAAGATCAAGATGCTCGCGAAGAAGAGCATTGAAACCGGTGAGGGCTGCGATTCAATCCCCGAGTCTATGCGCCAGTATCTGGCGATGCAATTCGACCCCAGCAAGCCCGGCGCAAGAGATCCGTTTGGCCGCACAGGAGGCTATGGAGCCGGCGGCGCTTACCCGAGCGAGTCCACTCCATCTGGAAAAGTTGTGATTCATCACTTCACGTGTCGGTCGTTGACCATCGGTAGCTGGCGGCGCATTGGGCAGAACGCGATGGACTTGGTCGTCTTCTACTCCCCCGAAAAAGCCTGCATGACTTATTACATCAACAATGATTCTGCAGGATACAAGATCGAATACCCTTTCTCCTACATCAAGAACATTACCTTGGAGTCGGGCGACCAAGGACCACAGCCGAATGGCGCTCCCCCGAGGCCCGGTGGTCTAGTGGTGGAACTGAACCGGCCGCCGCTTTTTTATATGGATTCCTCCAACTCCGGAGGCTTCTACCAGTGCGGCGACTTTACAGAAGACCAGCAGGCTAGTCAGATCTTGGTGCACCACCTTGGAGGCCATCCGAAGGTTCTGAGTGTGCAGCTCGCCAAGTTGGTGTCGTTGGAGTCGTTCCAAAACCGCTTGGCATACAACAACTTCGCCGTGAATGCGCCCATGTCTCCGCCTTTCATCCAACGCCCTGCTTCGCAGCCAAACCAATTCGCACCTGCGTTCATGAACATGATCCCAGAAACTCAGACTCACTTGAACCTTCAGGTTCCTCGCGGACACAGGCGTCAACGGAGTCGCTCTGTTCCAGTGGCCGTCGACTTTTCTGCCTTGCAAACGCCTCTCGCCTCCTACAACATGCCACAGACTCCAGTGCATTTCAACCATGCGGACTCGAACATTTTTGCGCCAGTTCCCCAGTCAGCGCATCCATTAGCCGCGAACCTGCGGATTGATACCTCCGCCGCTTACGGCTTCGACCCCCGCACTCACCCCATGTCTGCGACAACGGCGACCGCCTCGCCATCCGACTTCGCTAGTCCCGGGCTTTTCTCCACTGGAGGCCCTGGCGATTCGACCCCTGTCGCGGCGGGCATGGGAACCCCCTTTAACCTGCCTTTCGTCTCCCCTCAAGTTGACTCTTCCAACATGGGAACGCATTCTGCATCCCCATATTCGACTGTCAGCCACGCCGATCCTATGATTGCGGATCACTCGCCGCCACTGTCGAACATGCACGCGTCCCAGGAGATGTATGGCATGAGCAATGAGCATCAGCCGAGCTTTGCGGAAGAGGGAATGCAGATGAATGGGATGTTTCCCAAGCAGAACGTAAACTTCACTGTTCCAACTACCATGGGCTTCGAAGGAAACACTTTTGATCTGCCCATGCAGACCTTGCCCGGTCACACCTCTCCAGGTGTTCAGGGCGACTACCAAATGACGTCTATGGAAAACGCCGATCCGAATGCATTCGCCACTGGATCTTGAACCTTACACATGTGCCTTGCCGTTCGGTGTGAACGGCTCCTGGTCTTCGCTTCTTTTCTATGCCGTGTCCAAGTATCACTTGGCAGGATGGCAATTCTTTTCTTTGATGGGCTTGATTTTCTTTCACAAGCTCTTCAAATCACTTTCCAAATGATTGGATGGTATTGTATCCAGGAGAGATACCCAACCTTGACCAGTTATTTTCACGTCCCTCTTTGGAGGACTTGGTGAGACTGATGCTTTTTTTTTTTTTTCCAGTCCCACCAACTTAGATTGACGAGGATATATCCATTTCTTCTTTTCGTTTCTTCTGATATGCTCTCAGCGTTATGCTCTTCTTCTGCGCACTTTTTCTTCACTTTTTTTTTTGGTGTATTAATACCCTTCTCTAGGGGCTGGTCCTTGCCACTTTATCAGACATTTTTGCCGCAGCGAATACTGGGCAATATTTTTCTCTTTTCTTGCAACTTCTTTTCGAACTTCTTCAATTTACCCTGGACCTTTTTTCTTTTTCTTTTGACTTTATATACCTGGTCGGGGCCTTTTAACGTGGTTATGCCAGAAAGTCGCACAATTGGCGAGATTGTTTGAATTCTCATTTGATTGGTGCTTTTGGGTTGGCGGGATTAGGGTTGTTTACATATTCCCTTTGTTATGGCCATTTGCCTGTCGCATGCTTGCGTCTTCAGTTCGGTCTTGTCAGTTGTTGACATCTGCACGACAGCCATGTGGGTTGTCCCGGTGATATTCTGTTTCTGCGAAGCTGTGAAATTCTTCGCGTGCATACTTTCGAGATCTACCAATATGAACCAGCATCTTAAGACAGACTCTTTGCTAGCAGTCGTAGTTATTGGCGTAGAAGACAAGCTCTATCTATGATACATGGGTATTTACAAATGTCAAAAAACAAGGTGAACGATTGCGCAGAAAGCTACTGACGGTCCCAGCCACTCGGTGGAGGAGCCTTCAGCCCTTTCGACTCCCTCAAATACCTCTCCACCCAAACCTCCATTTTCTCCAGAAGGTTCATCCCCGGCCTGACGTCCTTGGGATCAACGCCCTCGGTGACTCCATCGCGACACCAAACACTCCACGACCCCATGCGCGCCGCCATCAACACATCCGTGCCCAACCGGTCCCCTACGACAGCAATCTCCTCCGCGCCCTTCACCACTCCCCTCTCCCGGAACCACGCCAGCACCTCGTCTCCACAAAACGGCTTCTTTTCACTGCCCTCCGGCAACCGAAACACCGGAATCCGTAGTCCCGACAGGCGCTCTTCCAGCTCCCGCACCTCCGCATCATAGCGCGGATGCGAACCCGCACGGTTAGACACGATCAGGATCGAGTCCGGATGTTGCTCGCGGTTGAAGGGGGAGGTATGTGACGTGCGGAGGGCATGCAGCTTGTCGAGGATCTGCGGAGGGAATGTCGTGGTTTTAGGGTGGCAGAGGGTATTGTCTTTGTCGAGGACGAGGGCACGGATCGTGGGTCCCTTGGTTTTGGATGCATCTGTCGGTTGGAGATTGAGGTTTGCAGCGATTGAGGGACCGACTTGTTCAGGGAGATGCGTGATCGTTGGGATTGTGAGATGGGGGAGGAACTGCGAGGGGTTTTTGAGCAGCGTTTGTACGGCTAGATTGAAGGCGCGGAGATTGGTGTTTGGTGGGTTTGGCATTTTGTTTAATAGTCTTTTCGCTTCTCTTTATTTACTTGGGTATGTCTTTTTTTTTCCTTTTCCTTTTTTTTTCGTTTTTGTTAAATGGAGGAGTTGGAGGTATTAAATTAACTCTAGGAAGAACTAAAGCAAAGCTCCGTAGCTTATTTATTGGCTGGGCGGAGCAGAGCCGCAAAACTCTCCGCCAACGGAACGTCCAATTCGATCCTACCGACTCTCTGTTTCTTTCACCCTGTGCGCCAGACGGAGGACTATTGCTCTCACGGGATTTTTGTCCGAGATTGAAGCATCCGAACTTCTCTGCACCTCTTTTTATCGTCTCTCTTGCGACAACCCCTCCATTCCTCCTCACAATGGGCAAATTGACCTCCACGATCGGTATCCCGATCAAGCTTCTTAACGAAGCCCAGGTATGTTTTCTGAGCTTCATTTACGCGCCGTCATCTTGCTTGCATCTCGTCTGGGAAACTGGAGCTAACGCGCTGCGGTACAGGGCCACGTCGTCACCCTGGAAATCACCTCCGGAGTCGTGTATCGAGGAAAACTTCTCGAGGGTTCGTCGCTCAACCATCGCACCAGGGCATCATAGACTGACTAGGAATAGCCGAGGACAACATGAACGTTCAACTGAAGGATATCACGGTCACTGCTCGGGATGGTCGCGTGTCGCATTTGGATCAGGTCTATATTCGCGGAAGCCACGTGAGGTTCTTCATTGTGCCGGATATGTTGCGGTATGCTCTCCTACCCATCTATCACTGTTCCATTTTGCCATTCCCCCTCCTTTATCTATCGTTCATCTTCCAATACAAAATCTAACAAACCATCGAACAGGAACGCCCCCATGTTCCGCTCAAGAGGCCAGCGCGGCCGCGGTGTCGGTCTCGCTCGTGGTAAGGCCACCGTGCAGCGTGCCCGGGGCCAACGGAGGGGTTAAGTAAAAAAACGGGAAATATTCATATCTCATATTAATGGCGTTTGACTTTTGCTCTTTTTTTTTTTTATCGTGTTGCCGTTCTAACCTTTACATTGGGCCGTTCCTGAAAAATCGATTCCTGGTTCTACATGGGATTCTTATACCCGCGCGTGTTGTGGGACATTTCTCCTTTTTTGACGCTGTTTGTCGTGGTTGTGTAGATTTGAGGAAACGGTGATAAGATAAATTTATCGATATGTGATGCGGGCTGCAGTGGATGAAGACTCGAGCTTGATATCCAGCTGATCTAACATCGATACCTGGTAAAAAAAAAAAAAAAGAAAAGAAAA